GGGCGAGCAGGCGCTTCCCTTTGGCCTCTGCCAAGGTGCCACAGAAGCCGAAATGGAAAGCATGGGATGGTCCTCCACTTGCCAGCAAGCCTGGCCGGGGAAGAAGCCCCAGAGGGAGAAGGGCCCCCAAAGCGTTGCTCTGAAGGAGCCATTTCTGCTGCCCCATCGCTGCAACCCCCAGGTGGGACACTTGACTGGGCCATAATGCGTTGCTCCTTTGCTGAACGGGCTGGGTGGCAGCGTTGGGTGACGGTACGCTATTCAACAGGGCGACTCCTCCTCCTCCTCCTCCTCATCACGACAACCAGCCGTTATGGCTCCACCTGAGGGGGCCAGGCTGCTCAGGGCTCCCATGGGGTTTTGGGCAGCCCTACAATGCGCAGGAGCCTCTTACTAAACAGTCCCCTTGAATGCAACACAGGGATGGCTGTGTGTTTGGTTGCATATTTTTGTACGTGTGTGTGTGTGTGTGTGTGTGAGAGAGAGAGAGAGAGAGAGCACCTAAGTAGAAACACTGCACAACCGAGTCAGCCGCTGTCCTTCCACACACGCTCCTTCTGCTCCCACGCGGCTTGCTCCGGCCAAAGCTGCTTGCTCTGAGGTGAACCAACCTTCCCTGCTGTCCCAGGGCCACAGCAACGTGGAGAGTCAAGCCAAAGCTCTTCACCAACTCTCGCCCTTCTTAGCTGGGCAGCCGACATGGAGGCTCCTCCCAAGGAGCACCGAAGGGGGGAAAGGGAAGCTGCCTCTTCAGGAAGCTCCTTCTGGAGCCCAATGCCAGGGACCTGCTCAGGCCTGGGGGGACGAAGGAGAGGCAGCTCTGAGGGGCAATTCGGCCACCGGCCTCTGAGCTTCCCCTGCTGGTTCCAGGACCATGGAGAGCAGGCCCAGAGGATCTCTCGGAGCCCTTCATGGCTTCTGACATCCACCCTCGGGGCAGGTGGCAACATGGGATCCGGTGCTGGGAGGTCCTCGCTAGAGGTTTGGGTGGCCTCCCTCCTTGACCCTCGTCCGCAGGTCTGCTAAGAGAAGAAACCAGAAACCTTCTCCAGCCTCCCTGCCTCTTTTCTCAGGCCTCTGCTAAACAGTTCTCTCCCCCCTTTTCTTTCTTTCTTTTACTGATCTGCCATATCGGAAACCCAGCCTGAAGAGGATGAATTTGCATTTCAAATCATTATTTGTTGTTATGACAACGCAGGATAGATCACACACACACACACACTTCCCCTTTCTGGGCTTTTGAACAAATCAATCAGTCAATCATCATCATCATCATCATCCACCTTATGATGTTCAAGTAAAATTTTAAGCTGACCTTGCCCAGAGATCGCCTTTCTCCCCCTCCTGCTCCGAGTGTGGGAAGCAGAGGAAAGGAAAACAAAGGAGGGAGACACACACGGGTGGGCAGGGGGCTTGAGGTGGGAAATGCGGCTGTCCCAGGAAGAAAAACTGGAGCCCTCCTCCCCTCTTGCCGGAGAAGGACAGGCTCCTTTCTGGGGAGCCCAAACCAAGAGAGCCAAAGGCCTCTCTTCCTGAAGGGAGGGAGGCAGGGGCTGTGGGCCCTGGGGGCAGGTGGGTTCTCACTCTGCCCCCCCCCCCCCCCCCGTAAAGCCCTGGTCTCTTGTGGATTGAGTAAGGGCCGAGCCTCCTTCCGTCAGCAGCCCCAATGATGGCTCCAGCTCCACTTCTCCAGAAGCTCTGGCAGAGACTTGCAAGGAATGGAGAAGGAGCAAGACACCCAAAGGCTTCTTCCATGAGGCTAGATCTCAGTGAGGCCTGCAGACCAGCTGCCTCCCTGACCCAGTAGCAGGGTGGCTGCCCATCCGCTTACCCTTAGCCTCTAGGTCAAAGGAATGGGTGCCACGCTGGCACAGACAATCCGAGCTCCTGCTTACCAGGCACCTGGCTTTTTCAGGTGAAAGAAAGCAGAACTGGAGGGCACTGAGGCCTCCTCAACGTGTAATCCCAGCTCCCCTGCTTCCATCTCACCCTGGGCACTTTTATTTGAACTACTGCCATCTGGCAGACGGCACAGGATAATAAAAACAAGGACAAAGAGGCTGGAAAAGAGCTTCTATCCCAGGGCAGAAACCATATTGAATTCTACAGTGTAGGGCAATATTGGGTTTTCAATTCCCATTATATGGAATGCAAAGGATGCGTGTTTGTGTTTTTATTTTTATAATTGCAGTGTACACTGAAGACGGCATTTAATTTTGTGGTACCATGTGCAATGACAATAAACTAACCTAACCTAAACTTGCTATGGATGCCTCTCCTCCCTCTGGAAATGCTCCCCATCCTAGGAGCATTCTCCAAAGAGCTGGGGAAACGGTGCCACTCTGCTCGGCAGGAAGGAGGGCAGGTGCTGGAGAAAGACTGGCAGGGCCTGGGCCGAAGCTCCCCCCACCTGTAGTAACTATTGGGGCGACTCTCCCTCCCCCCTCGTGCTGTGGCTGTCCACACATTGTATGTCTGTTTGTGTGTGCGGGGGGGAGATAAGAGACAGTCGGAGTTCATGTGTCTATTTGGTGTTCCAATTTTTTGACAAGGCAAGCCCAGTTATGCAAATATATCTTCCTAATGTATAGTGTTAACACATTTATGTACATGACTTTTATAAATATTTGCATTGCTGTGCAGATATTTTTCACACACACACACACACAAAAACACATAATATACTGTACACACACATTGTACATGTGTAATTTCCAGAATGTTCTACTAGCTGAAGTTGGGTCTTTTAAACTCATCTCTGGAGATTTGATTGAAATTTCAGCTTTTGTTCCAATTTCTTTTGCATTAAACTAAATGATTAAAAACACAGAAGTTTCGGCACAATATTAACCTAAACATCTTCCATGAATCTACGCAGGAAGCCGCCCTGCCCTCAAGGCATCCGAGCCCCGGATTCCCCTCCAGGGCAGCCGCAGAAAGAGCCAATGGGAAGGGAAGGCCGTTCTGCTCCGTGCACCCCATGAAAGCTGTGGGGCAGTGCAGCTTGGCCGGCCTTTCACCGCAAGCACCTCCCCCCAGAATTCACAGGTAAACCGCCCCCTTTGATGGCGCAATTTGCTTTGCTTCCTTCGTTAGAAAGAAACCGAAGAGTCAGAAAGTCTCAGTGAAACTAAACACACCGCTATCCCTATTGAGCCTTTTCTATCTGACAAATTACAGGAGTTGATACTCCCTCTTTTTTTCCATTAAGGTGGCAAATGTCTCTGACAAATTAATCAAGGTAATCGCTCTCCAAATACCGTGATTTATTCTAGTGGCCTTAATTAGATCTTGATGGCCAACTGTGAAAATTAGGGCCTGTAATTCACAAGTTGTGGCAAGGCGCTGATGTTTATTAACCTCGTGGCTTCAAACCCAGAACATTTTCGGTTTTCAAGCACCTTCAGAAAAATCTGCCCATGATAACAAATTCCCAATTATATTTCCAGATGAAAAATATCCAGGCGTAGAACAAGTCAAGCCAAAGGGACGATTGCTATGCAGGTGGGGCCCACCTTGAAAAGGTCCCCAAATCCCAGAAGACAAATATTTGGAAACATCTCAGCCAGCACAGAGGGATACGGAGGGGGGAGGGGAGGGGGGGTGTTCCTTTCAGCTGAGGAAGAGGGAAGGGGAGGAGACCTCCACCCCAGGAAACTGCCCCCCTCCTGCCCTCAGGTACCATCTGGCCAGGAAGGTGAACAGGAAATGCACCTCACTGGTGCTGGCAGGTGAGAACACGGCCCTTCCCCTCTGAAGCTAACGGTTAGTGCTTGTAACACCCCATGCGCGTAAGCCAAGAGAGCAGGTGGCTCTTCTCCTCCTTCCCAGAAACAGACAGGCGAACCAGAGCTGAGCAAAAGTCCAACCTGTGGCAAAGTTAACAGCAACGATCGGAGGGTTTCCGTGGGGTCAACCTTGCTTCCCACACCAGCATTCCCAGCCAGGAACCCAGCTCGGCTGCCTGTGCACAGAAGGGCCTGCAACCTGTACTTGCTGCACCGCCAACGTGTCCCGGCTCAGGACATGCAACGGATGCCAGTGAAGCATCTAGAGCAGGGCAGGCTCCCCTGGTCCCACCGGAGCATCTGCTAAAACCAAGGGAGGGGAAGAAGAGCTGGCTGCCTTCAGCCATGAGGGGCTGGCTGGGGAGGCTGGAGCTCTATGGGAACACCTGTGCCGTGCGTGCGTGCATGCGTGCGTGTGTGTGTGTGTGTGTTCTGGAGAGCTGCTGATCAACACCCAACTCCTCCTGCCATTTAGGCTTTTCCTGGGCTTGGGGTAGGAGGGGATGGGGTTTTTTCTGGCCCTCCAGAGGAGCAGAGGCAGCGTCTCCGGCAGAATTCACACGCCCAGGTGTGTCTCTGCTGCAAGCGGGACTCTCGGCCGGCTTCCCCAGGGGAGACCCTCAGCCACCTAGGGGAGATGCCCACGGAGGGCAGAGCCACAGAACATCTGGAGTCCCCCCTGTCAGGATTTCCCAAACGCAAGGAAAGGGGCCCCGGGCTGTGCTCCTTCAGGCTAGGCCACCGGGGGAGGCTTCAGCTCAGCCCTGGGTGAACCCAGCCAGCCCGGTTTCAAAGCCATGGTTTAGCGTGTGGCGAGAAGCGAGCCGAGCTGCACTTGGCAGGGCGAGTGGATCCCTCTCAGGAGGCCCGCTGGCTGGTCGTCCTGGGGAGGGGAGGAGGCTTACCTGGGCGTCCATCAGGAGCTGGGTCATGAGGGACATGGACCTCCTGAGGGTGCCGCTCTCGGCGGGCAGGAAGGCCTGCAGGGAGCCGTCGTCCTCCTCCAGCGCCTGGGCCTTGTGGACGATGAAGTCGGAGATCTGGTCGTTCAAGGTGCGGAGCGACTGGACGGCTGAGGAGAAGGAGGGCAGGACACGGGGCTCACCTCCAGGTAGCGGCAGCTGGGAGAGGCCACCTCCCACCAGCAAGGCAGAGAACCGGGGAGGAAAGGCGTCAGAGCCCTCCGTCCCGCACCCCGAGAGAAGCAGCGGCGGCAGCTGCAGGAACGGGGCAGCGGGGCGGGAGCCAAAGGGTGGCCATGCCCCTCTCCGTCGCTGAACCCCGCTTGGCAAAGCTAGCCGGGATGCGAGGGGCCCCCGCCCGCCCACTCAGTTCCCTCCCCAAACCCGCCAACGCCTTCAGGCCCGGCCCGAGCAGCGGCCGAAGGTGCCTTCCTTGCGGGAGGGAAGAGCGGCCGAGGTCTTCTGAAGGGCCGGGGAAAGGGCTCCCCTCAGATGCCCTCGCCCAGAAGGCCTCCACCCCCGGCCTCTCCCACAGCGTCACAGGGGACCTTGGTGGGGGAGGGCGTCCGAAGGGCCAGGCACGGCTCCCGGCGGAGGGTTCGGTCAGGCCGGCCCGCTTCATGCCTGGCCGAGCGCGGGCCCCCGGACAACCCCCGCAGACGGTGCTTTCCTTTGGACGGGAGCCAGGCTGACTCGGCTCGGGCTGCCCTCAGGCACGCCACGCTGACCCCCAGCCAAGGCCAAGAGGGAAGCGGGCAGGCGGCTCCCTCAGCCTTTTCCTACCCGGCCTCTGGCTTCCCACCAGGAGGGAGTGGGGAAGGGGCTCTAGCCAGAAAGCCGCCCCAAAGCCACCCAAGATCGCGGGATTCTCCCGCCGGAGCTGGCCGAGAGCGCGTGGCTTTCTGGAGGGGGGCGTCTCGGGTGGGGGGGACGGGACGCCTGTTGAGTTTGGTGACCTTGCAAGATCCTGCGGGAGCCTCCACCCCCCCCCCCCCCCCCCTCTCGCCCCGCGATCTTGAGGGAGGGAAAGGCCGTTGGGCGTCGGGGAGGGGCTGGCCAATGTCCAGGGAGACTCTGGGCAGCCCTTGAGGGAGGCGGTGCTCCATGTGGGGCCACAAAGGGCCCAGAGCTGCTCCTGAGGGAGAATTTCCCATGAATGCTTTCTGGCATCTTCTGGAAGAGCTGGGGGGAATGTGGATCTGCAGGCGTGTCCGCCATGAAGGCCTTGAGCCCAAGACCCCCAGAATGGCACTGGCGGAGGCTGGCTTCTCTTGCTGCCTCCTCGCCCCCCGCTCCCCTGATGGGCTGGGAAGGGAAGGAGCCTCCTTGGCCCAGAGGCAGGAGGGAGAGTCTGCAGGGGCCTAGCAACCAGACAAAGCCACCCACTTGTCCCCTCCGGCCGCATCTCCTGCCCAGGGCATAAGGGCATAAGGCACCCTCTCCAATGCTGACCCACAAGGGAAGGGGGCAGGAGAGCTGCACGGTCCTTGCGGGGGAATGGGAGTCAAGGAGTCAGAAGCTGAGGCTCCATAAAGGTCCCCCACACCTCCCAGCCACCCACCTCAGGAAATGGGAGATTAACCGCCATGGGGATTGGGTCTTCTCCCCCCCCCCCCACAAGAGGCAGTGTGTGTGTGTGGGGGGGTGTTTGTGTGTGTATCAGAAGGTCCAATGGTCCGAGGGGAAGAGCAGGGAAGCCGGGTGACAGCTTCAGAGCTCAGCTTTCATCCTTGGTCTCCTGAGGAGTCCTTTCAGGGAGAACTTTCCTCCTCACAAGAGGAAGGAGAGGAGCCCTTGGCGAAGGATCTTGCCACGTCCCCTGTACATGGCACTCAGCCTTCCTGGAGCTTGGACCCCTGGAGTAAAGGGCCAACTTTAAAAAAGCTGCCTTGCTGTAGCCTGAGAGCCTCCAGCAGAGAAGGGGGGAATTTCAGGCTGCCACCTGAATTCAGAGAAAACCCTGGCAGGCGGCCCGATTCTTCCTTCAAGCCAGAAACGCTTCTCCTCTTTAAGGTCAGAAGCGACGGGGGCTTCTTCCAAGCAGACTCTGTCTCCCTCTCCTGGTGCTCCCTGGCCCTCACGGGCCCCACTGGGGAGAAAACCCCCTTCCAGACCTTATCGAAATCCAGGAGATCATCTTGCACAAGAGCCGGACGTGGCTCTGATCGGCCCCATTGGTCAGTTCCTGAAGGGGGCACCTGGAGTCTCTTGGGAAAGTTGTTTGACCCACGGCAAGCCTCTGCTTTTCCCTCAGGAGGGTCTTTTCCCTCTGGCCCTGTCTGCTTCTTTTGACTGCAAGGACACCCAGTCCTATTATTCCACCTTCCAAATATATCCTACCCAAAGCTCCCTGCAAGATGGCAGAGCAGGAGGCCTCGATCCTTACGGGCAAAGGCCAAAGAATTCACGGCTGCAGCGGCTGGGAAGTTACAGAGAGCCCAGCTCCCCTGGGCCTGTTCGGCAGGGATAGACTCAAAGCTGCCAAGATGGGAGGCTTGGGAGGCCTCCTGCCGAAACATTCATCTGTCACAGGAACAGGAAGGAAGGCAGAGGACTTTCCCCAAAGCTTCTCTTAGCAAAAGAAACCCTCCTTCATCTAGGAATCTATGCTGGTTAAAAACAATTTCATTGTCAAGTACGTTTCATTGCTGATTGGATGTGTGTCGTGACTTAGGCCAAAGGTAAAACTGTTTTAAAACAAAGCAGGGGGGAAGTGAGATTTTTGTCTAAAGTCCTGGAATAAATCTGCTAGTTCTGTTTTTTTTTTCCCTCCAAATAACGGCAGAGGGTCCCGGAAAGCCCTTTTTCTGCCACTGTCCGTATCTCCTGCCTGAAGGACCAGGGGCAGCAAAGGGCCCTTCCGACCACTGCAACCCCTCCGAGCCAACTGGCTTCCCCTTCCAGGCCAGCAACCCTGCCTGGCGCAGTGGCTGAACTGCACAAAGACAGCAACCAGCTCCAAACGGGCCGGTTCTGAGTTGGCACACACCAGGCAGGCGGGCAGCTTTCTCCCCCACCAACTCACGGTCGCCCTCCTGAAAATAAAACGTCCTAAAGAAGCCGGATCCCCTGAGCCCCCCCCCCCCCCGGGACTCTTTTGCTGCAGCTGGCAAGAGGGAGGGGGGCCCTTGCTGGGCCTTCTCCTGGGGGAGTCTCCCTCTTTGCTCTCCCTGGATTCTCCCGGAGAAAGAGCTTCCTCTGCGGGC